GAACATGGACCCCAGAAAGTTCACTTCCCCATCCCAGACCAAGGTAAGATTGGGTCATCATGATGAGACGACTGTTTCCTGGGATTACACACATTCACATTTAGGCACACGGCCCGTGTCATACATCAGCAGCATGGTGAGCAGTGTGTGAGCAAAGTATGACAATCATGTCCATCAAATAAACAAAGATGATAACAGAGTTTTAGAATTTATCATCCTATAAAGTCAACAAATCAAGTGCTGGGTGACACCTTGATAGATGTAAAAGAGAGGGTGTTTTTTTGGCTGATGATGAATGTTCTTAGAGAGTCTGTGACCGTCTACTGATGCCATTCACAGAGAGGCATTGAAAGACTTGTAGCAGACCATCATCTCAGCCTCCCAGGGGTACCTTTGGCCTCTCTCACCACCAACATAATTCCTCAAAGTCCAAAGAAGAATGCAGAAACCTGACAGTCTGGGAGTCATTCGGCCAAACCTCCACAGAACTCTGGAGGACTGGATGAGGAAGATGTTTCCAAGTAATAACTCAAACTTTAAAAGAGATAGCTATGCACAGATTGTTTCTTTAGAGTTTTTCTTGACTGGATGACAGTCTTTATACTCAACACAGAGACACTGAGGAACTTGGAGTCCAGAGCCCAAACCCTGGAAGCAGAGGTTCTGCAGAGAAGGTGGTGCTGAAGGTGTGGAGGTGGATCAGAGAGTCTGAGGAGACTCTGTAGAAGCTCAGAGAGCCGGCAGGACGGTCCAGATACACTGCTACTCTGTGGGGGGAGGAAGTGGAGGAGAGGGAGGGGGGGATGGGTATTTCTCTGTCGTTGTGCCAAACAGAGTTCCCAGAAACATCTGAGCAGCTCAGAGTCCAGGACTGAGTATTCCTTCCAAACACACAGTCTGTAGCATTTCCTCTCCTCCTGATTCTTCTGTAACTCACTGATACAGAAACCCCTCCACTACACTTGACCTCCCAGTAGCAGCGGCCGGTCAGGTCCTCCTCACACAGCAGCTGCTGACACCAACCCTCAAACCTGTCTGGATGGTCAGGATATGGCTGAACCTGCTGCTTATTTGTCACCTTCCTGTTGTTGTCAGAAAGCTCCAGGTTTCTGTTCACCGCGTTGGTGTCGACTGTGAGCCGACAGGAGTCTGATGGAGAGAACAAACACTGATCAGCATCATTTCACTCTGATCGATGAGGGCAGACGGATGGATGTCAGGAACCAGATAAGAACACACTCACACTTCCTCAGACCTGGTGTCAGCAATCGTTCTCCAGCAGGCTCCACCCTGAAAGGACGAGGGGGGTCAGAGCAGCATGGACACATTAGATGATGGAGCTCCAGGCTCCTCCATACCTGAGAGTCTCCAGTCTGGAGGTCGGCGCCCTCTTAGCCGCCTGCAGCAGCTCCAGCCCTGAAGCTCCTGGATGGTTGTAGCTCAGGTCCAGCTCTCTCAGGTGGGACGGGTTGGAGGTCAGAGCTGAGGCCAGAGCAGCACAGCCGTCCCCTGAGACCAGGCAGCCGGACACGCTGCAGGAAACACCAGAAAAGTCTGAATCTGAGCAGCAACTGCTGATGGCAATGAAGAAAAAATTATCTGCCAGTACGACACTGACTACTAACTGCTCAGAATCCTCTGCACCTGAAAAACACTAATCCAATCCAAAATCTGTTGTTTCATATCAATTTCCTCAATTATCAGTTTCTTGCTTTTCAGCATTTTGTACCTTCAAAGTTAATTCAGATCCAAAAACAACTCTACATTTGAGCAGATTTTTCATGTTGAAGGAAACCACCAACAGAAGACACATTCCTGAACGAGGGTTAGAGTTTTACAGTTCATCAGTAGAACAGTTCAGTGCATCCTGACCTGAGACCCTCCAGCCTGCAGTTTGGACTCTTCAGCCCATCAGAGAGCTGCTTCACCCCTGAATCCTGCAGGTCGTTGTTGCTCAGGTCCAGATGTGTCAGACTGGAGGACTCTGAGCTGAGAGCCGAGGACAGAGCTGCACAGCTGCTCTCTGACAGGTTACAGCTGCTCAGACTGAGGAGGAAAAATAGATAAAAACTGAGTTAGTCATTGTCATTTATCTACAGTTAGGACATTGTCCATCCATCCAGTGGCTGTGAACCAACCCAAGCTGACACTGGGCGAGAGGCTGGACAGCCCAGTCCATCACAAGGCCTCATCACTACTATTTTTGGGCTTCAATAAAGCAAACATTCATGTTTTGGGATCTCCAGGGACTCTGGAGAGAACACAGACAGTTTAAGCATCCATCATTCCATCCATTTTCCACGGCTTATCCGGGCTCGGGTCGCGGGGGCAGCAGCTTAACCAGGGAAACCCAGACTTCCCTCTCGCCTGCCACTTCTGCCAACTCCTTGGGGGGGACCCCAAGACGTTCCCAGACCAGATGAGACATATTCCCTCCAGCATGTCCTGGTTCTTCCTCTGGGCCTTCTTCATCTCATTCTTTGGGTCATTACCCAAAACTCATAAACATAGAAGAGGGTGGGAACGTACATCAATGATAAATCGACGATAAATCTTCACCACGACAGAGCAGTACAGCACCCACATCACTGCAGATGCTGCACTGATTCTCCTGTCGACATCCCACTCCATTTTACCCCCAATACTGAACAAAGCCCCAAGATACATGAATTCATCCACTTGTGAAGGGACACCCCCCCCCCCCCCCGGCCCTGAGAAGGCCCCCTAACCCTTTTCAAGACCATGGCTTCTGATTTGGAGGCACTGATCCTCATCCCAGTCGCTTCACACTCAGCTGCCTACCACTCCAGTTATAGTTATAGATTGTGTCTTGATGAAGCCAATAGGACCACATCATCTACAAAAAAGCAGGGATGCAATCCTAAGGCCACCAAGACGGACACCTTCAACACCTGCTGAGGGTATAAAGCTGATCCAGTGTTCCAAGTCCAGGAAAAGAACCAGAAGGCTCTTCCTGAATCTGAGGTTCAACTATCCGAGGGACCCTCCTCTCCAGAACTCCCAAACAGACCTTACCAGGGAGGTTTAAGAGCGGGAATCCCCTATAATTGGAACACACTCTACAGTTCCCCTTTTTAAAAGTGGGACCATCACTTCAATGGCAATCCAGTGGAACCCTCTGAGTCTGGGAGCGACTTTCATTCCATCACCCCCTCTAAGGACTCCAAAAAGGGTGGGTAATCTGAACTGTTGTTAGGTGCATAAGCACAAACAACAGTTAGCGCCTGTCCCCCCACCCGAAGATGAAAGGAGGCTACCATCTCATTCACTGGGGTAGACTCCAATGTACAGGTGCAAAGATGGGGGGCAACAAGTAGGCCCACTCCCGCTCGGCGCCTCTGACCAAGGGCAAATCCACTGTAAAAGAGTGTCCAACCCATCTTGAGAAGACGAGTTCCAGAGCCAGAGCTGTGCGTCAAGGCGAGTCTGACTTTCTAGCCGGAATCTCTCAATCTTACACACCAACTCAAGCTCTTTTCCCTCCAGAGAAGTAAAGTTTCACCTCCCGAGAGTAAGCTTCTATAGCCGAGGATTGTTCCGCCAAGGTCCCCGCCTTCAGCTGCCACCCGTACCAAATGGCACCGAACCCCTTTGGATCTTCTCAGAGGTGGTGAGCCCATGAGAACGGGGACCCATGTGTCCTTTACAAGCTAAGCCCAACTGGGCTCCATGGGTGAAAGCTTGGCCAATGGGCCCATGACAGCGTGCCCCACCTTCAGGCC